TTTTGGTATAGTAGTTGTGACTTATTCACACTCTATACATTTGGCTTCCGCAACAATTGGTATGTTCACTATTATACTAACATTATCAATGATTGCAGTTTGTTACTTCTACGGCTGGGTAGGCCTTCTATCCAACATGTCTACGGGGAGCAAAAAATAGTGTTGCCGATAATTTAGCTAAATATGGAGCCACGCATACAGTTGGGAACAATTGTCTACTTTTTGCAACCCCACCTCCTTTTGTCGAGCCATTCTACCAGAAAGATCAAGCAGGAACAACGCACCGGAGGCTCGTTAAAACAACCAAAGAGCTTTCTACCAGTGTCCCAACACAACCGATCTATGATCTATCTAGTTTTTGTAATAGCAATGTTTTGTCTAGTACTGAACCCCAAGCTGGGGTATTTGTAGTAACTCCTAATATTACTGGCTTAGTTACTTCGATGCCTATGATATATCTCGCTCCCTGTACTAATGTTACTGTTTAATTTCTATTAATATAACTACTTCTTTATGCCAAAAAAAAAAATTAGAATAAACTTGCACGCACAGACCAGTTCACAGTATAGCATTCAAACCTCGGCATTGCAGATCTATACCAATATTTTAAAAGGCGGGGTATGAGGCGGGGACATTTTACTCACTAAGAGGAGAGACTCAAGCCTTGAGATATGGGGCGTAAGCTTCATGGATCTTTAAATTTTTTAATTTATAAATTTATTAAATAACATAATAACATAAAAATTATAGAAAGTATATCCAAAATTTGAAGAAAATTACAAATTATTAAAAAATTCATAGAAAATAAAATATCTAGCATGTTTTTACTGGCAAAAAAATCAATAATGTCAGTTTTGCTATGAAACACAAATCAATTATAACGTCTTAACTTTCAAAAAATAAGAAATCACAATTTCTTAATAAATATTATTAAATCAAATATTTTATCTTCCTAAAAGTAAATAATTAATAAACTTCATCAGTGTTATAATTTAAAGTATTACTTCTTCATGAATAAATACAAAATTACTTTCAAATGACAAAGAAATAAAAGTTTGATAATTTTGAGAGACATAGAAGATAGAACTAAGATATAAAGGCCAATAGCAAGCGAAGATATAAAGTTTCTCTCTCAATGTTCACATTCCTATAGATGAATAAAACTATAATCATTCATTTGTTAAAGAATTTGAAGGGTTAATGGTGTTAGTTAGAAAATTTGACACATCATTTGAGTAATAATTATTGGGTAATAATTATTGGCGAGCCTCGAGCGGTGGACGTTTGACGTGTTTAGGGGCCTCACATAACTATGCCCCACACGTGAGTCTGAGGGCATTTTGATAGTGCCCCGCCCTCGGGCGAGTGCTGGGCAAGTCCCAAAAAAGTCTTTTAAAACTCTGATCTATACATACATATATTAATGACATAGGGATCGCATATTCTTGCTTAAAGTTTTTGTATCAAACTTAACAAAGGTCATGCTAAATCAAAAATACTCCTGAGTTACGTTTTTGAGTTTTGGGAAGATTTGCCTGTTTTGAGTAGTATGATTACACTCGAAAAAATTTCTTGAAAATAGGAGCTTTTGTATACTGAGAACTTGAGAACTTTATTTGATGAAGTAAATCTAGGTTCTTGCCTACTTTTCAATTAAGCACTAAAATTTTGAAGGGTTCACCAAACTTTGGCTGATCACTAACCATCATTTTACCTACTGAAATAGAACAAAGATGGCATCTGGTTTTAAGTTATCTATAACTTCGTCGATCAAACAATCATTTTTACACTCTAAAAAATCAACACTCTATCAATTTGTAATATTTTACTAATGAAGGATCCAAAGTTAAAGCGATGTTTCTTAATAGTCATAAAAAATTACATACACTAATGAAGAGAAAAAGGGAATGATCATTATTCTTAGCTCAAGAATCTTCCACAAGGATAATTGATAAGAGAGAGGCAATTGACTTGCAGTAACATTACATATTTAGACAAAGCGGGCCGGATCGGGCTCGACGATCGGAATCAATTGATTCTATGATTTATAATTGAATAGCAGAAGTGCTACTTAATAATAGAAACCGAAGAAACAAACAGAGAGTGGACTATTTCATACCTTATCGATCGAGCCGAACACGCATGGAAGACATAGGTGAATAGTGGCGAGCAGATACAGAACTAGACCTCCTATGAACAAACATGCCTGAAAATCGAACCATTGAATTCAGAATCCAAACTAAGTCCCCCAACACATAAGCCAATTCCTCGTATATGCTCATGCTTTTCCTTAACATTACATGCATCACTACTGTCATTGCATCTCCAAATCTAATCATTATAATGCTTTCTTTGAGTTGTGTGGAGAAAGTCACACGAGTTACCAGAGTTCAATGAATTCCAAGTCTATCTATTATATGGGGCAGCAAAACAAAGGCCAGATGACCTAGAACTTGTTTCTTTCTTCTTCTTTCTTTTTTTTTTGAATCTTTGAATGAATGAAAATAATATGTGAACACTTCTGTACTAGTATCAATTATTTGACATTAAATATTAGTATACTAAAACTCTAATGAAAGAAAGAAGTACTAAAGGGCATGGTAGACTTACTTAAATACCCTTTTTCTTTAACTTGTCAAAGCTTCTCACTACTTGTGAAAAATTAATGCAGCAGTTGAAGAAAATGATAAATTTTAGTGCTTTAAAGAAAAGCAACCATTTCCATGCAGCTTGTTTTCTTGGAATCTCAGCTCCAAAACTGCAAAGAAAACATTGCCGCTGGAACTGATCAAAAGGGGGTTTCTAGAAATCAGATTAAGAAAAACTGGAAGATCACGGGTAAAATACCCAGGTGAGGAAGTCACGGGTTCGAGCCGTGGAAACACCCTTTTGCAGAAATGCAAGGTAAGACTGTGTACAATAGATATTTGTAGTCCGGCCCTTTTCCAGACCCGCATATAACAAGAGCTTAGTGCACCGGGCTGCTTTTTACTAAGGTGCTTTTGATAGAGCCATGTGATACATCCATATTTATTCACATTAATTAAGCTGTTTGGCTATCCTTTTTATTTCTTTGTTCTTTTTTATGTGTGAGATGAAGGGGCAATAATGTCAAAAAAATCGAAGGATGTCTGACAGGTAGGAGAAAATTAAGAAATGAGCACATAATGAAATCATTCTAGGCTCGAACAGCCTGACTTAGAGTATCCGTACAAATAAATATATAGACTTCAAGTGAAATATGTCGTCATAGGCATGCCCCATGCTACACACGATCTGATTTTGATGCAATTCTATTGGATCTAGCGTGACTAGATTTCAATTTGTTTTTAGTGGTTGACATATTTTAGTTTATCATATAGTTTGGCACGTGTAATAAGTGGTAATTTTTTTCTTTGTAAGGTTAGTAATTTATCAACTTCATACTTTGGTGTCGCTCACGCTACTTGTTAATTACTACTTTTTTTTAAACCCGTATGTAACTTTGTCAACACTTTGCTCTTTGCCATTTACTTGTGGTGACCAATTGTCCCTATGTAAATACTATTATTTTTAAGAATAAAGTAACAACTTTCTCCGTGAGAACAAGATAAGTGATTGCATCCTAACAAGGAGAAAAAAAATCTATATTATGGACCATTACAAAGGTTATAGTCTAGTAGTATTAATGCGACTGAGAGTCTCCCAAAAAATAGGTGACTGTATTTTTATTATTTCTTTCTCGTATCTTCTATGTAATGGGTTTCTTTCTTTTTGAAAAAACATACATATACAAAGGTTTATCTATGGTTAGATATATTTATGAACTAATCTCATACTTAGACTAGGCCCTCAGTATCCATGATGTTAGAGGAATTTAACAATAAATACATAGTCCGGAGATTTTTTTTTCTTTTACATATATATATGGTAATGTCTTTCTTAAAACACTTAAATTATAGGATGATTGTTGTATACGGTAGAAATCAGAGAGCTCGATTTTGAAGACCTGATTACACTCCGAGCCTGAGTTGGGGAAGCTCGAAGTAAGAATCAAGCCAGGCCCGGATGAGCGCACCTCGAGAAGCAAATCGAGGACACTCAAAAAAGAGTGGGAATTTCTCAAGGACACGTGGATTAGGGCATAAATTATGGGATAAGATTTGTACGAAATAGTACAAGTCGGTACAAGGTTGTTATACAGCTGTACCAATAGAATTCTTTACCATAATTGGAAGTGTACCATATTAGGGGTTTTCCCCTCCTATATAAAGACGACCTCAATCATTTGTAAGGATATCTCATTCACTGCAATAGAATATTCCACTATGTTTTTCTTGTTTACCGTACTCAATAATTGTTCTTCAGCTTTATTATTTTTACTTTATTGTTCATACTTCATTGGTTCTCAGCTCACCTCGAGGCCCCCGAGATTATCGAGCTCGAGGTCCCCGCTGCTCCAGCAACATTAGTTTGGTTCATCAATTCTTCTTTCTTAAATTTAATATTATTTGTACATTCACTAGTATTGGAATAAATCACATATCTTTAAAACCACAAATCATATTTAATTGTTACTCTCATTTTTCGAGGTAAACAGTTTGGCGCCCACCGTAGGGCTAAAGATAATAGTGATTCTTTTAGTTCTAATTTTCTGATAACACACGTTATTCTTCACACTTTTTCTTGTCAAAGATTCTTTGATTTAAGGCTAAGATATGTCTAGCACACAAAATGCACCTGCTCACAACAGTGAAGGATCGGAGAAAACAGTGGTATAGGGGTCGGTGTACCACCCATAAACCCTGAGGGAGTGCCAAATATGGAGCCAATTGATATCAGTTCACATAACGCTCTAAACACGGAAGCAGGCACAAACCCCATAAGGAATGCACATAGGGAAGCCCAGCCAGGGGACCAAGGAACGCTAGGAATGGGAGAGGGGGGAGTCAGCCTCCAAGTGATATTCGAGATGCTACAAGCTCAGCAAGTCACCATCGCTCAACTTCAGAGTCAGAATAGAACTCCAAACACCGAGGAACCAGAGAACACTCAGCGTGCAGAACTAGCGCTAGAGAGGCCCAATGAAAGTGGCTTGGGGACTGACCCTGCGATTATGAAAATGCTTGAGGAACTAGCCAAGAGGATCGAGTCCCGAGAAAAGAAAATTGAAGAAAACGACAAAAAGGTGGAGACATACAACTCGAGGGTCGATCAAATACCAGGAGCACCTCCAATTTTGAAAGGACTGGACTCAAAAAAATTCATACAAAAACCTTTCCCCCCAAGTGCGGCTCCAATGCCCATTCCCAAGAAGTTTCACATGCCCGATATACCAAAATATAATGGAACAACTAATCCTAATGTACATATTACTTCATACACTTGTGGAATCAAAGGGAATGACTTGAATGACGATGAAATCGAGTCAGTATTATTGATAAAGTTTGGGGAAACACTATCAAAAGGAGCTATGATTTGGTATCACAACTTAGCTCCTAACTCTATGGATTCATTTCCTATGTTAACAGACGCCTTCGTGAAAGCACACGCCGGGGCCATAAAGGTGGCCACAAGAAAATCGGACGTCTTCAAAAGAAAATAAAGGGATGGCGAGATGCTAAGGGAGTTCGTGTCCGGGTTTCAAATGGAAAGAATAGAATTACCACCATTCTCCGATGAATAAGCAGTTCAGGCCTTTATGTAAGGTTTGAATGAAGAAGCTGGATTGCATCTCGACAACTAAAGTAGAACTTGATCAAATATCCAGCTGTGAAATGGTCGGATGTGCACAATCGTTATCAGTCAAAAATTAGGGTCGAGGATGACCAGTTGGTGGCCCCCTTGGGCTCAGTTCATGCTACTATATTTGCAGACAAACCCCTGAGGGACACGGACTGGGGATCAAGATTCAACAAAGAACGGTATCAACCATATGCCGATCGAAAGAACAACGACCTAAGCCGTAACCCTCCTCGGAACGATCAGAGAAATGATCGAGGTCGAAGTTCTTGGGGACTCATGAGTAAGAGCAGGTTCAATAAACACACCGACTTTGCAGAGGCTCCCTGATTATTAGAATACAATTTCAGCGTAGACGCGTCGGGGATTGTCTCGGTTATCCGAAAAATCAAAGACACCAAGTGGCCCAAGCCAATTTAGACCGATCATTCTCAAAGGAACCCGAATTTGATGTGCAAATATCATGGCACGCATGGTCATCAAATGGAAGATTGCAGATAGTTGAGGGAAGAAGTGGCTCGTTTGTTCAACGAGGGCCACCTTCGAGAATTCCTAAGTGATCGGGCTAAGAAGCACATCCGAGAAATAGATGTAAGGAAAAATGAGCAAGAAGAACCACAACACGTAATCTGCATGATCATTGGCAGAGTCGATGTTCCCGAACGACCTGAGTTCCAATGCACCAAGGTGTCGATTACAAAAGAATAATGAACTCGGAGCTATGTGCCCGAGGACATCTTATCGTTTTATGACGGGGAAGCAGAAGGCATATTTTGGCCCCATAATGACGCCCTGGTAATCTCTATCCTTTTAAACAAAATTCAAATTAAATGAGTTTTAGTGGATCTAGGAAGTTCAGCAAACATAATCAGATCGAGGATCATGGAACAACTCGGCCTACAAGGTCAGATCGAACCTTCGTCCCGAGTCCTGAATGGCTTCAACATGGCAAGCAAAACAACAAAGGGAGAAATCATCTTGCTAGTAAATGTAGTCGGGACCATTCAAGACATGAAATTCCATGTGATCGAAGGCAACTTGAGGTACAACGCACTCCTCGGGAGACCGTGGATACAAAACATGAGGGCGGGGCCTTCAACACTTCACCAAATGATAAAGTTCTGGCGGAGGAAGGAGTGAAAACAGTCTACAGAGAGCAACATGTTGCAAAGAAGATGTTTGCTATCGAGGAAGTGGTGTCGGTACCTGAGCCCTTGACCTTGAACAACAAAGGTAAGCAGGCGGCTAAATAGCCACCGCAGCAGGTAACCGAACTTCTTAAAATAGGGTCTATTTGGGAAGTAAAACATCCCGAGAGGTTAGCCAACATGGTTATAAAAGGGAGAACAAACTTAAAATGTGCATAGATTATAAGGACTTGAATAGAACATCCTTTCCCCTTGTCAGGCGTCGATTGTATGTTCAATGCCACAGTTGGCCCCGAGACCCTAACTTTTCTCAATGCCTACCCCGGGTACCACCAGATTCAGATGAACCCGGAGGACCAAGAAAAGGCTTCATTTTTTTTTCAGGGCGTTGTAACCTATAGTTACAGCGTGATGCCCTTCGGGCTGAAAAAATGCAGGAAGCTACGCCTAGTTAACAAAATGTTCGAAAAATGAATAGGCAAAACAATGGAAATTTAAAGTGATGATATGTTGATTAAGTCCTTGTGCACAGAGGACAATTTAATTCATTTACAGGAAACATTTATGATCTTGAGTAAATACAGCATGAAGCTTAGCCCGGAGGAATGTGCCTTCGGGGTTGGCACAGGTGAGTCCCTGTTACATTTCGCGTTTTCGTACGTTAAAATTTCATTTTCAGTTAACTGACGTAGACTCGGGGATGAGGTCATCTCGACATTAACGTACTTATGCTATTTATAACAAGCGATAAATAAGTGTTATGAAGGATAAATGGGTACACGGATTAGAGAAAACGAGTTTCGTTGAAAGTGGCCAATTTGGAATAAAATATGGGTCGAGCGATAATACCCGATAATTATGAACTAGTACCATGCAGTGTACCATATGACCACGGTAGTATAATATATAAAGTATATATGAAGTATTTTAAAAATAAATAAATTTTTAAGTAATTTGTGGTAATTTTTAAATTATGCGGGTAATTGATTAATTACCGGGTAAGGAAACATTACCTAGTTAACTAATAACTTGATAAATTAACAAAATCACCCCNNTTTAGTCTAAGGTGACTCATTGTTCACCTTTACATGTGTCATAAAAAGTTTTAATAGGCTAGTTTACAAGTCTTATGAAAGGAAGACTCTTGTGATTTTTATCCAAACATTTTGCCTTTGGTTTTTAAACCGACAACGTGAGCCAAATATTCTGCCTTTGGTTTTTAAACCAACAACGTGAGCCAAACATTCTGCGTTTGGTTTTTAAACCAACAACGTGAGAAAACAGAATGATTTTCAAAAATTTCAAGCA